TGCAAGTGAAAATACCTTTAATCTACCAACCCACATAACTGAACAGAGTGAAGTGATTGGTAAAGGCACAGATGATGATCAACAAAGCCACAACAGTCATAATACAAGTTTCAATGCCTATATGAATGGTATAATTTTGAAATGTTGCTGCGCTATATCATTTTATTGTATTTGTTTTTCTGTTTTAAAAGCCTGTAACTATTGGAATTCAGATACATTGGAATCAATTTCTGATCATGGAAACATGTTTTATACTCGGAGCCTCGACAAAGAGTGCCTTACAATCAATGATTTACCAGCAAGCCTTCAGATATATGATGCAGATATAAGTGTTAAAAAAAATTTACAAAAACAAGGCAAATTGTGCTGCACATCTGCTACAAGCAAATTAGAACTACAGAAGATAATAACAAATAATACAAAAGGCAATACTGGATTTTTAGCATGGCTGTCCAATTCTTGCATTTGTTGCATTTTTCACCATAAATGCCGGACCACCGACTTTTATCTCATAGTGTTATACAATGGGGAATTTGATATGTTTGAAAAAGTAACCAGTGTATCCACCTTAGTACAGAAAATGATTGGTATAACAACACAAACACTTCAAAATGAGTTAGATTACCATATCTTATTTATATCCTGCTCAACTCAATTATCAAACACTGCAAGACAAGGTATCATAAGGAAACACAAATCAAATGCACAAAAAAAGGTTAATGCTGAGAAACGCAAATTAAGCTATGCAAACATGAATCCTGCGCTCCTTTACTTTCACACTTCTACTACTTTCTCACCTTCTTTGTTTTCGACATAGGTAGCCCGAGTAAACGCCAATAAAGGCGTCTAGTTCTTTATTTAAACTCAGATGTCACGCATTGCGTACAATAAGCCTGAAGCGAGATGACGTTTTACCCCCGTCTCTAAACCATAATCCTTTTCACAGTGCTTTTGTTCTTTAGTTGACTATTGTTCCTGTATTCTCTAAGGAATCAAAAAWTTTAATATGAAAGAATTTTAAAAACTATTATGGTATAGAGTCGGGGGTAAAACGTCATCTCGCTTCAGGCTCATTGCGGKTCCGATGATTTTGCTCATTTGCATACTATATCACGGAACGGCTGTCACGTTTCATGCTAATTAACCTCAAGGAATTACAAAGAATAAGGCCCCGTCCACACTATGCCGGATAAATTTGAATCCGCAACTTTCACACCGAAACCGAAAAAAAMGTTTTCGGTCCACACATGAAAACAGATAAAATGTTTCGCGTCCACACTAGTCCGATCAGAGGCGGCAAATACGCTTCATTGCACATCAGACCATCATTTAGGTAGAGAAGAGCGGATTTTGAAAAAAACCCACTAAACGGCCTCAAATACCTCAATAGAAGACTGAACARAGTAAAAGCAACAACTGCAGCACGTTTTGAGGCTAATTGTTGAGTGAAACATTTTATTTTCGTAACTTTATCATAACTCCCATACATTCCCTTATAAACYATACACAGGAACCTTGTTTGGGCTGYCTGTGAGCGAACCCTTTTGAGGTTTGGAGTCAAGGAAGCAAACCGCGCGAGGCCTGGGACCAAAATTGTTCACGGGAAATCTTGAAAGTTGTTGTYGGCGCGGATAGTCATGGCATAATTAATGGCGGGGAAAAA